CAGCGCGCGGGGCTGTCGCGACAGTCCGACAGGAGCAGGGCAGGCCCTGGGGCCGTGCCCAGGCAGCGGGTCCTTCCGCCAGCGGTCACCCCTGTCGGGCTGCACCTTCGGAGCCGCCGGCCGCTCCCCGGGCCGCCGCGTGCCTGCTAAAGCCCTGGCAACTGATCAGCTTTTTGTACTCAGACCAAACTTCCAGGCAGAAGAGGATGGATTTAGGAAACTGGGCTCACAACTGGAATCAGAACGTGGAGAAGCCCAGGAGGAGTCTGGGCGCTCTATGCGCCATCGCCTTTAACCCAGCTGGTTGGCATCAGAGGTGCTGGTGACTGACGGTGCCCGAAGCAGCACGTGCTGCCGAAACGATTCTCCTCCTGGTCTGAGGCGCTGGCAGAGGCAGCCCCGGCAGGGCAGGCGGCTCCTCGGCACCGCGCAGCCCCAGCCAACACGTGCCAGCACGCCTCCCCACGAGGAAAGGATCTTAGAAGGAAGGGAACACAGCTCCGACAGTGCTTGTGCTCAGTGCCTGGCTGGCTACCTACCTCCTTTTCGATTTCTGCAAGGGTTTTGATTGTGATGCCCAAGAGATCAACCGGCTGCATCTGGTAAGGGAAGAAAAAAAAAAAAGAAACAGAAGTATTAGTGTGGTTTGGTTTGGTTTGGTTTTAAAGTCAGCAAATACTCCACCACCAGAGGGTCAGAGGCACCGTCTGTGAACACACGCATAGTGCTGTTTCCGAGTCCCCCTGCGGAGCGAAGAGGCGGAAGCGGTCGGGGGCAGCAGCCCCAGGGCCCGTCTCCCGCACGGGGACGGCTGACGCTGCCCGCGCCCCGCGCAGGTACCGCCGGTACCGGACGGCGGCTCCGTGCTGCAGCTCCCCCGGGATCTCCTCCCGCCACAGCGCGTCGGCGCGAGCGGCACCGGCTGCGGGAAGCCCCGACCAAACTGACCATACGGTGGCAATGGTGTCTAAAGGATCCGAGGGGAGGATCAGCACGACCTCATCTCTCTGCGTTTGTCCTCGCAGCAGGGACTCCGGCTTTCTGGGAATAACGGCCCATAAACAACCCCTTCAGAAAGCAACGGCTGTGAAAAACCATGTCCGGCTGCACACGCAGGTTGTGTCAGCAGGAAGAAGAAAGCACAAAGCAGGAGCACGACATGAAAAATCTGAAAAATCAGGTACAGCTGATGGCTTGGTGTTTGCCTTAACAGCTTCCTGCAAATTGATTTTTAAAGAGATACTGGTTTAGAATCACCAGAGGGCAACGGGAATCCTAAAATAATTTTTCCTTCCCTGCTCCTGCTCCCTGGAACCCAGTCGAGGTCTGGCTGTGGCGGCATTAGGACGCAGCCACCTCCACCTTTCCAAGCTGGAACTGGCCAACACGGGGGCGCAGCCTCCCCACTGCACAGGGCTTCGGCCAGCGCCGCCGGGGCAATCCCGCACCCCCCCGCCATGGCTGAGCAGCTCCGGGAGATCCTGGCGCAGGACGCGGAGCCGCAGGAGCCCGTGGCAGTGGCCAGCGTGGGGGTGCTGTTGCCTTGAACTTCTGGGTGCAGAAGGCAAGGGGTAAAGCCGACGGCACCACGCCGTGTCCGCAGCAGGTTAGAGCCAGGAGACCTGTACGTCTGCCGCTCGCTTTGCAATCTGTGCTAAGGAACCAAAGACACTTCTGGCACCAGAGTCCCGCTGCCGTTCCGCTCCTGACGGCGACAAACCTTCACCTCCCAGGACAATGCGCTTCAGAAGTGATCTGGCAAAAGCCGCTCGCGCCCCGTGGGAAAGTGTTGTGAAACGCAACCTCGGGTCATCTCAAGCACTGGGTATGTATTAGGCCTCACAAAATAAAAGCTCCCAGAAGCAGGTAATTTGTATTGATGCTTTGTGATCGCGCTCTGCGAAGAGAAGGAATTTCAGACACACGGAGAACAACAAAGGCAACTCACCCCTTCAGGAGCGCAGGCAAACTTCTCCGAAATCATGAAAGGCACTCCATCCATCGCTGAAAGGACAAAAGGAGCAGAGGCGTCACGTTTCCAGCTGACTTCTGACACGCAACTTCACACATTCCCAGCGACAGATCAAGTGCTCAAGGCACTGACACATGACTGATAGCTCACAGAAGTTACTGCCAGCCTTTTCCTCCCTCTACCCGCCAGTGGTTTCTCTCTGCACAAGACACGGCGGGGTTAGTCCCCGCCGAACCAGGAATTCAGTGAACACTCCTTGCTCTGTCCATATGCAATTTCATCGTCTCAATTTTGAGTGTTCCAGTTTGGTTTAGCTGCTAAAACAGGACAGTGTTCGAAATACGAAACAAACAGAACTGGTTTAAGAGGACACATCTACTTCCCACCGCCACACCAACACCCGAGCGACCTCGGCAGTGTCCGAGCGAGAGGGTGAGGAGCGTCCCTGGCTGGAGTGAGCCGCACCTCCCCACAGCCGTAAGCGCTGCTGCCCGGGCACCACGGAACCAGGCCCGGTGACGCGAGGCTGCGCCGTCACGGCCGCCTCTGCCCTCGGGCCCCGCCCGCGCCTTAGCGCAGCCGCAACGACACCGAGAAGATCGTTTGCCTTTATCCTTCCCGGCGCGCTCTGCTTCGCGCAATGGTGTTCGGTGTTTCTGTCTGGCCATCACCACCTCAGAAACTTCTCAGAAGCGTCACGCCAGATGTGTCAGTACGAGGGAGACACTTATTTTTAAAACATGTAACTTGGCAATTTCCACACAAGACTGAGAAGGGCACATTTCTAAGGCAGAGTGCAGCACCAGATACACCTGCTTTATTTCAGTTACACCTTTAACACTTTAAGTCTTTAAATTTCAGCTCTGAAAGAAATAAAAACTTCAAACTAGAGCAAATTTAAGCCCTGAAATGCCCTCCAGTAATCCTCAAATAGGGTTTTCTTTCACAAAGCATCTGCACCCACGAGCCCGGCGTTTCTCTGCTTGCTGTCTGTGACTCTCATCACCACCGGTCAGTTACGTCAGTGATTTAACAAGGCTTCTTTAAGAATACTTAGCGTTTTAAATTTGCTTTGTATATTTTTGACTTAACCCCCCCCCCCCC